AGGGAGTTGTTAGTGGTCAACTCAAAACATACATAAGTATATTGTGTAGTTGCCGCAGGTACAGTGGTGACTTTAAGAGAGGTTTGGAAATGACTAAGCTGATACACTTTGGCAGACATAATTTTATAGTTTTTGCACAGCACTGTATGTTCTGTTGAACAACTTTGATTTTAGTTTTTATTTCATTTTCATTTTCATTTATAGTTGTTTTATAATATGCAGTTTAAAATCATTTATTGGGATTACCAGGATTTAATATTTTCATGCATGTTATATTAATGAGTGCTTTTGTGTATTTATTTGCTTATTGCTATATTTTCTACTTTTAAAATCTTTTTGTAAGTGGGTTTTAACGTGGATGTACTTACAATAAATATGCTTTTCCTTGACACACATAAATAGGTTTGTCTAATATATTAAAGTGTTTACAGACTCCGTTTGTGTGTGACGATTCAGCACTAGTAAAGGCTAAATTCCATAAAACCACATACTGGCCTTAAAATGCAGTACAAAAGGGAAGACACGGGTCACTAAACTAACACTATCCTTAACATTTATTCAGCTCCACACACATGTATAAGTTTCACTTGTTGAAATGAGCTACTATATACCTGAGTTTTCACTTTTCAGGTTTTCAGTGCCAACATTCAAACTGCGACAAACTATTTTATAACTTTTCCACCTCCTTCGTATGACATCTTTCGGGGTTTTAAATATCATTGACAAACTAATGACTTTACACATACTGTACTGTAGATCCTGATGCCCAGAGGTATACAGTAGATGGATGAGGGCACAAAGAATATATTTGTTAGGATAACCTTGCTCTCAATGTCTTTATTTTGGTGTTCAGTCCTCCATGGTGCAAAATCCAGGAGAATTAACAACAGCAAGTAGATCCACCACTGGATTAACTAACATGCTGAACCCTCAGCAAAATGTTTGGGTGGGTCCAAGATCTATTTGAGAGAGCTTGATTAGCCTTTATATACTTGCAGCCAAAATTCCTTTGAAACCCTCAGATGACAACAAAACAGCATTTTCCTCATTGAATATTACTGTTTATGTGCAAAAAATTCAATCCCGCTGTGCGATCTGTGAGCTCATACAGTACATGAATTAGCATTAGTTTCTCAATGACATTAGGTCTGTAATTTTAGAAGTATGAGTATATTTGGACTTGTTTCTAAATTTGGGTAAGAGGATGACAATTCAAGCCGCGTGAGAATTAACAACATACCATACTACAACCAAAACAGGCTTACCTTTTAAGGTAACTCTTTATAATAAAGGTTATTGGCACTGCCTCTTTGTAATAACATATTGATGGATAGTTTCTGCTGTTTCAGCTGGCAGCCTGGCCCTACCCAGAATGCCTTTTTACAAACGTCATTGCATCTCATTTACCTTTGGTGGTGGGGCGCTGGGTTCCCACTGATTTCTCTCAGTGCTGTTTCATTGTAATCAGCTCACAATGGTTACCATGGAGAACCAGCCCTACTCACTGCTTCTCTTTATCCAAAGGCGAGAACGTACTTCAGCTTTTCTGTATCCTAAGGCGAGAACGTACTTCAGCTTTTCTGTATCCTAAGGCGAGAACGTGCTTCAGCTTTTTGCATCCTAAGGGGAGAACGTACTTCAGGTTTTCTGTATCCTAAGGCGAGAACGTACTTCAGCTTTTTGCATCCTAAGGTGAGAACGTACTTCAGCTTTTCTATATCCTACGGGGAGAACGTACTTCCGCTTTTTGCATCCTAAGGTGAGAACGTACTTCAGCTTTTCTGTGTCCTAACGCGAGAACGTACTTCAGCTTTTTTCATCTTAAGGTGAGAACGTACTTCAGCTTTTCTGTGTCCTAACGCGAGAATGTACTTCAGCTTTTCTGTGTCCTAACGCGAGAACGTACTTCAGCTTTTTGCATCCTAAGGTGAGAACGTACTTCAAGTTTTCTGTATCCTAAGGCGAGAACGTGCTTCAGCTTTTTGCATCCTAAGGTGAGAACGTACTTCAGGTTTTCTGTATCCTAAGGCGAGAACGTACTTCAGCTTCTTGCATCCTACGGTGAGAACGTACTTCAGCTTTTCTGTGTCCTAACGCGAGAACATACTTCAGCTTTTTGCATCCTAAGGTGAGAACGTACTACAGCTTTTCTGTGGCCTAACGCGAGAACGTACTTCAGCTTTTTGCATCCTAAGGTGAGAACGTACTTCAGGTTTTCTGTATCCTAAGGCGAGAATGTGCTTCAGCTTTTTGCATCCTAAGCGGAGAACGTACTTCTGCTTTTCTGTATCCTAAGGCGAGAACGTACTTCAGCTTTTCTGTGTCCTAACGCGAGAACGTACTTCAGCTTTTTTGTGTCCTAACGCGAGAATGTTCTTCAGCTTTTTGCATCCTAAGGTGAGAACGTACTTCAGGTTTTTGCATCTTAAGGCGAGAACTTTCTTCAGCTTTTCTGTATTTATTATCTGCCTCACTTGTATGTCACTTTGGACAGCAGAATCTGCTCAGTAAATAATGGTAAATGTACAGTTGTTTCTCTTTAGCCGCCTGAATAAACTCTTTGCATTAATCCATGTTCAGAGAGAGATAACAGATATTCTGAGCCTGGAGCAGAAGGTCCTGAGGTACAATCAGAGGGAGGCACCGGCCTGCAGTAATACAGTAACGTTTGGCTTATTACAGATGAACCCGGCACTGCAGTAATACAGTAACGTACAGTATGGCTTATTACAGATGAACCCGGCACTGCAGTAATACAGTAACGTATGGTTTATTACAGATGAACCCGGCACTGCAGTAATACAGTAACATATGGCTTATTACAGATGAACCGGCACTGCAGTAATACAGTAACATATGGCTTATTACAGATGAACCGGCACTGCAGTAATACAGTAACGTATGGCTTATTACAGATGAACCCGGCTTAGTTAAAAGTCCTATTGCCAATTTTCACAGATGTCTGTTGAAATTTTTGCTTTAAGTGATTCTTGTAGCCCCAGCTTGATTATCCAACATGCTTGGTTGAATTAGCTGACAAATAATTTTTACTGTAAATGTTTATGTTTACTGGATCGTAGGAGCTGGTCATGGGAACAGAATCCAAATTGGCAGCTGACCTTCAAACATCGTCTGCAATAATTCTCCTTCACCCAAGTAAATATGAAAGATTCTCAAAGGTTCATGTCTGAATTTTCATGGACTACAGAGAGGTGTGGAGGCAAAGACAGACGTGGCATAAAATTACTAAAATGACTAACTCGAAAAATCTGACAACATTCTACAGTACATTAAAGGAAGTTCAGCATTATTAGCTTAATGCAAATGATATTAAATATGCCAGTTGTTCTTGGTTAATGGCTGTTATTTTGATACGTTTTACCCTGAAATTCAGATCACACCTAAGACTCATTAAATCTGGTCCACTGATTACATTTAACTGCCAGCTTCAAACCCATTTGACATGTCTTACCGATCGGTCCATGTAGAGAATGTCAGTGTGTGGGAGGAGCTTCTGAGACTGAAACAATCCCAGCATCTGGGAGGGATTTCATGAGGAATGAAACATATGTAGGACACACAAAGACTTCCTGGTAGGCTGGCTCTAGCATGTTACAGATCAAGGAGAATGAGTCTTTCAGCAGAGGAAGGTTTGTTTTTATATTTCTTACTCTATTTTCAGTTTATAGTTTTAATCATAATAAACTGAGTGCCTCATTTGTTCAATAATTAGTAAGTCATTTTGCCGTGAATGATCTCTCTCACTGTCAGACAGAGGTGGCTGATCTATAAAGTTAGAGGAGCCAGTACCACCAGTGTTTTTAAGATTAAATTATGAAACAAGTAACTTTAAAGTAACTCATTACTAAAATGTTATTGTCATTTAAAAACACATTTTCTCTCTGGAAAAATTCACTATTATAATATTGTAACATGTATGATCTTCTCACCACTTAAATTTTTTTAGCCACCAGCCACCGGTGATTAGATTCATTTGCTATGTGTCTTACTTATTGTTTCAATAGAAATTTCCAGTACTAATAAGTTGCAAACGATCTGTGCTTGTTTTTGTTTCTTTTAGGATATGAATACAATGAAGAACTCAGAATCGTCTTGTTGGGTAAAACTGGAGTAGGAAAGAGTGCTGTGGCAAACACCATACTGGGGAGGGAAGAGTTAAACTCATGTCTCAGCTCCACCTCTGTTACCACAGACACTGTAAAGAAACAGACAGTGGAACACAACAAATTGGTGACTGTGGTGGACACCCCAGGTCTGTTTGACACAGAAAAGCCCAATGAGATGATAAAGGAGGAGATGATAAAATGTGTTCAGTTCTCCTGTCCAGGGCCACATGCTTTCCTGGTGGTCATGCAGCTGACCAGATTCACAAAGGAGGAGAAGATGTGTGTCGAAGCTCTGCAGGAGATCTTTGGTGAAGAAGCAAGCAAGTTTATGATCGTCCTGTTCACTCGTGGAGATGATCTTGAAGACCAAACCATTCAAGAGTTTGTTGAAAATGGCGAACCCACTCTGAAGGAGGTGATCAGAAAGTGTGGAGACAGGTATCACGTCTTCAACAACAGGGAGATGTCCAACAGAGCCCAAGTGAAGGAGCTGTTGGAGATTATTGACCGCATGATGGCCCTGAATGGGGGAGGCTTCTACACGCAGGAGATGTATGAGGAGGCAGAGGCCAAGATCAGGGAGAAGATGGAGGAGATTAGGAGGAAGGAGTCTTTTAGTAAAACCAAGAATTTCTGGCGGGATAAGGATGAGGAAGAGAAACATTACCGAGAGATGGCAGAAAGGAGTGACCTCAATTGTAACTTTAAAAAGAATCTAAATCAGAAAGTTCATAATGCATACAAAGTTGTACAAAATTAATTTGTTTTGGCCAAATAAAGGTGCATCTTCCCATTTGTACAGATGTGACTGACAGTGTCTAGGGTCCTTACAATCTTGTATGTAAAAACCTTAATACTCTATGTTTGTTAAAGAATAATAATCAGTTTTATTTACCTTGAAGGAATCATATGACTGTATCATTTAAGATACCCTACAACATACAGTTTAATTGTCAAACAACAAATTCCATATATTCTCTATGTCAGAGTGTGATTGTTCCTCCTGGACAGGGTGGTGGGGGCCTGCAGTCTATCCCAGTCAGCTAAGGGCACAAAGCAGGGTAGCATGTGATTTGCATTTAATATTAAGGCTGTCATTTCATTCATGTGCTTTGATCTGTATGCTGTAATACTTTTAATAAACAGTATAAAGGCTTCTTTCTTTGCTTTACTGTGAACAGCATGTCAGATTAATTGTAATTCATAAATTTATTGTCATGTTCATCTTTTTCTGGAGTCATGTCACTCACCTAAATCTAAATCTCACTATTGTTACTCTTAAAACACCATAATTTGACACTTAAAAATACATTAGACATCATAACAAGTCAGAATAGCGTATCCTTCTTTCTTAAAACTGCTTATGAAGTATGAAATCATGAGAAAGATGAGTTCATATCTACAAGCAGTCCATGGTATAGGCCAGTGGCTTGTGAAATAGTTTGAGGAAATGCCACAGAATGTCTTTTTAAAGTAGAGCTAGGAAATTTATCGCGTTAATGCAGCACGTTAATTTTAAAGTCATGACGTGTTATTATTTCATGAATCGCATTAACACTTTACTTACCCAAATGGGAGAATAGTATTAGCAAAGATGTTTTGTAATACAGAGCCACAGTATTCCTTCCAGGGTTTAAACAACCCAAGAGTTTAGGCTATGACATTGCACAGGATCCCAGATTTCAAAGCTAAAAGCAAAACATTCAATTAGCATCTCAAAGGGAAGTTGGGGGGTATTCTTCGTATGTGGATTAAACCCTGCAAGGTCAGAGGACTCATTCCAGACAGTCTCATTGTGGAAATGGTTATACAGCTATTGGATTAGCTAAAATGGATTAATTAAAATCATCCATGGACACTGAATGGACTGGGGTTGTGTCCGAATTCAGGAGCTACATCCTTTGAAGGATGGAGTCTGTGAAGATATAGCCTTTGTTGGCTGTATTCTTCAAAAGTCAAACAGAAAGCGTTGTCAAATGGAACGGCCTGGCCAGTGGATAATTTCCTATTTGCGCCACCAGCTGTTTCTGCAGTTACCCTATTGCTTAGCCAGGACACACCTACTATACCTCTGTGCAATAAATCGTGGGATATGCTGGGCTGTGAAAGATCCATCCAGTGGTTCCATCACAACATGGCAAAAGGACGCATTTCTAGACTGTGTTTGAAGGAGCCTTTGAACAGGACAGCCTTGTTACACCGCTGTGATCCATTTGGTCTTTAAATGCATCCTTAGCAGGACTGCAGCCCCTGAATCTGGATGCAGAGGTATACCAAGCCTTAAAAGCATAATCAGCAAGTCTGTGATTGGCTGTCTAAAATGGTTTTTATGTCACCCACAAAGTCCCGTAAAATTATATTTATGAATCTTGAGCACACGATATAATTATATTGTAATGGAGTTGGGACAGGGGGGTGTGACTCCCAGCATGCACTGCTCCTACCGGGTTTTGTTCTGGTTGTTTTGGGTCTGTTTTAGGGGTTATATTAGTTATTGTTAAAGTTCTTTGTGTTTTGTGTTATGGGGAATGTTTAGGAGATAATTTCAGTTAGTTTCATTTAATGTGTGAAAGTTACCGTCGGCGAAATGCCGTGTTGTTTGTATGCCTTGGGGCAAGATTCCAGCCAAGTAGTTGAGTTGCTGCTGGGCATAAATTGGCCCAATTTACATGCTTGGCACTAGTTACAAAATAAAAGCTTGGAGATTCTCTCCTTTAGAGTTCATTCTCTGGTGTTGTTGTTATTCCTGCATTGATGAGTGAAAAGAGCAAAATCATCACAATATTATGTCTTAATATATCAACATGATTAATATATGATATTTGCACAAAAGATATATCATATTTGGGACTAAAACATCATATTTGGGATTTTGTAGGATCCGTAACTTCTTCATCCCAAGCAGAGCAAGAGCTACTGCAGGAGGGATATGAGGAATTTAAGGAAATGATACAGTATGCAGCTAAGTCAACACAGAAGGTACCAGCACACTAACGTGACTACATTAGTGCAGTTAATTAGTTATTTTAGTTTAATCTATTCACAGCCCTAATTGAAAGTACTGGGTGCCAGGAAGTTATGAGCTATTAGTAGCTCGCATGGATGCCACATAACACTTACAAGTGTACTGTAACTCTTTACTGTAATCTTTTACTGTAACCACCTCCACTCCCAATTAACAGCTTTTATTTTATTTTTATTTTCAAAACTAGTGTCTTTGTAGAAGTAGTAGAAACGCGTGGAGACCCTTGAATCAAATTATTAACATTATCAAAATAAACCATAAACCAAGAAAAAGTATTAGTTTACTGCCGTATTTGATTGTATTTTTATTAACTACAGAGTGCCGAACTCCCTTTAGTGTACAATGTTTTTATGTTATTTGTCCACATGCATGATTTTGCCCCACCAGCACACTTCAGTACATGAAAAATTTTAACCCCTGAAGTTGATGGAAAGGGATGTTGCAGACATTGTTTGGAGGTGAGCCGCTCTTTTGGTTTCTGTTCCAGCAAAACCTGTTTATGATGTCGTAATCATAAACAATTACAAAATTAGTAATGTGGCCCTTATTGTTTAGTCTGAGAATAGCTATTATCTGACTAAAGACGTTGGTGAATCCAGTGGTCAACCAGCTAAGAAACTGTACAATTTTCATTCCTTTTTTTGTCAGATGCTTTTGTCCAAAGTGACGAGAGAGGAGAGGTAAGAAAATACAATCATAAATCTTTCAAGGAGCCAGCTTAGGTACAGTTGCTGCTAGCTTAAGCTTCCAGTGTTTGAAAAGAGCTATATAAACACTGTGGAAACGTTGCATCAAAAAAATTATGTACACTAATTTCACCCAAGAGAGAATCTATTAAGTGCAATATGCAAACACAAATATCTGGTGCAGTAGTTGGTGATGTGGAACTTAAAGAAAGTGTCTGGTGTAAAGAGGTAAAGAGTAGTGTGAAGAAGTGTAGATGTGTCCAGGTGAATGGAGGCTGCTGAAGGGAGTTCAAATTTGGAAGTTTCCATTATTCTCAAAGAATTATTCTCAAAGAAGAACTCAGATAATTTAACTATGTGTCTGTCAGGTTCTGTTTTCTGTAAAAAAAAAAAAAAACCCAAAGATAGTCAGGTCAAGTCAGTTGGGGAGCATGTGCTGATGCAGTGTTGCCTGCCGCACCCACCACATTGCAGAACTGCTCGGGATCCCAGGTGGTGCCCCCCCAGGCAGACGCACGGTCTGGTCAGACACTCCAGAAATGGCCATCCATCTGCCGCAGCCAGGTGATACGTGGGTGCCCCCTCGGCCTGGTCCAGCCACTTGGGTCCTCAGCAATGGGGATCCTGCAAGCCGGATCACCCTCAAGGAAACGGGCCACATGGCCATAGTGCCATAACTGACACTTAATGTGCTTCATCCAGATCTCCTCTAGCAACCACAAAACCAGCGAGACCCAATGATTCTTCAAAGACACACACTACTAAAGGAGACCAGTCTCTGTCTCAGCTCACTGGATAGCGTCCATGTCTTAGCCATAAAGCAAGTCAAGGAGCACCAGAACTCTAAAGACTTGGACCTTTGTCCTTTTGCAAAGATATCTGGAGCGTCACACACCCCTTTCTAGCGACCTCATGATCCTCTCATGCTCTCCCAATCCGTCTGCTGACTTCATAGGAAGAGTCACCAGAGACATGAATGTGGCTGTCAAGGTAGGTAAATCTCTCGACAAGGTCGACATTCTCCCCGCAGACAGACACACTGCTGATGGTTGTGCCTAAGAAGTCATTAAATGTCTGGATCTTGGTCTTTAACCAGGACACCCGCAATCCCTGACACTTAGACTCCTCGCTTAGTCTCTCGAGAGCCCTGATGAAAGCCTACCATTGACTCAACTAAGATCACAGCATCACTGGCAAAGTCAAGATCTGTAAATCCGTCTTCACCAATGGACACCCCAAAGCTGACAGACCCCACGACCCTGCCTAACACACAGTCCATACAAGCATTGAACATGGTTTGAGCAGGAACACCCCCCTGGCGATCCCCAGAATCAACTGAGAAGAACACAGAGGTTCTCCCTCCACTCTGCACAGCACTCACAGTACCAGTGCACATGCCGGCCATGACATCCAGCAACTTCGGGGTGATCCCGCAAAGTCTCAGGAAGTCCCATAGGGCAACTCAATCAACCGAGTCAAACGCTTTACAAAAATCGCCAAAGGCTGCAAGAACCTCTAATAATATTTGCGCTTGCACTCAATGAGAACCCTCATTGCCAGGATACAGTAGATGGTAGACTTCTTAGGTGTAAAACCAGACTGCTCCAGTCACGGACAGGCGAGCAAGTGATCACAGATCCTGTTAAGGATGACCCTAGCAAGGATCTTACCCGGCACTGAAAGCAGTGTTATCCCCCTGTAGTTGCTGCAATCCAGGTGTTCACCCTTCCCTTTCCAGATTTTCCAGTCAGTTGGGATGACGCCTGACTCCGAAATGGAAGCAAAGATTGCCTGCAATGCCAGGAGGACAGCCTTACCACCAGCCTGGAAAAGTTCACCCCGGATACCACAGATCCCTGCGGCCTTCCCTACCCCTAGGTGATTCACCACCCGTGCAATCTCAGTGAGATTGGGTGGTTCACAGCTGATCAGAGGATCAGCCTCAAAAACCATGAACCCAGAGATGTCCAGCATCCTAGCTAGAGGGTCAACTTTAAACAACTACTCAAAGTGGCCAACTTCAGTGGCATCCATAAGGAATGTTCCATCACCCACCCTCATTGCAAGTCTCCAAGGAACAGATTCAGATGTGCGTAATGCTTTGATTCCTCTGTAAGCAGGACGTGGGTCACTGGACCAGAAATGGTGTGCCATCTGCTCACAGATTTGTCTAACAAAAGCCTTTTTATCTGACATCAGAGCCCTCACAGCCGTCCTCCTCAGTTTCTGATACAGACTGGAGTTGCCACCAAGTCATGCGCTGCGACTCCTCTCGATAATATCCAGGATGTCCTGCAAGGCGAAACATCTCCGTCTAGGAATACCAACACAACCTTCAGCCACCTTCGGGGTCTTATCACATAAGGTCTCCCTTGAGTTGAATCTTCAGAGTAGCAACAACAAGTCTGTG